ATCTCAGTCATTTGTGGAATATAGTGAACAACATAAATTGATGAACAAAAACAGATCCAGAGACAGAGAAGCATCGATCAGACTATCAAACCTCAGAGGGAAGGTAGGGGAGGGTGGGAGTAAAGGGGAGAGATAAACCAAAGGACTTGTATGCAAGCATAGAGGCCTAACCAATGGACACGGACAACGGGGGAGTGGTGAGGGCATGAGCGGGGGGTTGGGGGGCGTGGAGAGGGTAACGGGGACAAGGACACATATGTAATATCTTAATCAATAAAAAATATATTAAAAAAAATTAGAAATGAAAGTGGGAACATTACTACTGACCCAACAAAAATAAAAAGGATCAAAGGAGAGTACTGTGAATAACTATATGTCCACAATTGGATCACTTAGATGAAATGGACAAGTTCCTAGAAACACAAAACCTACCAACACCAAACCATAAGGAATTACAAATACATATGGTTAACCTATCATTAGTAAGATGATTTGATCAGCAACCAGAAATCTGACAAAGAAAATTCCTAGCTTCATTAGCGAATTCTACCAACATTTAAAGAATAATACCAACCCTTCTCAAACTTATTGAAAAAACTGAAGAGGAGGTACACTCCCCAACTCATTCTATGAGGCCAGAATTATTCTGATACAAAAGCCAGACAAAGGTACTACAAGAAAAGAAAATTGCAGACCAATATCTCTCATGAACATTGTTAAAAAAATCCTAAAAAAATACTAGCAAACCAAATTCAGCAGCATATTAAAAGAATTACACACCATGACCAAGTGGAATTTATTCCTGGAGTGCAAGGATGGTTCAACATCTGAAAATTGACCAATGTAATATACCACATTGGCAATGAAGGAAAAGGCCATATGATCATCTCAACTGATGCAGAAAAAGCATCTGACAAAATTCAACATCCTTTCTTGATAAAAGCACTCAACAAACTAGGAAACTACCTCAACATAATAAAAACGATATATGGACAACCCACACCAAACATCTTACTCAATGTGAAAGACTGAACACTTAACATCTGAATCTAATAAGGCAACTCTGAAAATCAGATTCTCCCTCTTCCCCAGGGTTTGCTGTTGTTTTGGGGTTGGCGGGGG